AAATCAGGGTTTTCCATTCCCTAGATGGACTGCCTCCCAGAGCTGTCAAGCTCCATCTACCTCCATTTTTATGAAGCACCAGTTGTCTGCTTTTACCTGTAATCCAGCTTGAAGCTGGACTTACTTCTCAGAGGCTATTTGAGATGCATACCATAGAAGCATTTTATAGACGGTGGGAGCTTGTCCCCACTATTCCCCCCCCCGCTGGCTATGGTGACCTTTGGAACATATATAATGTACATATATAAACATTATGTACATTACTTGTTTTAAAAGATCTGGACCGAACGTTTGAGCAACGATGAGGTCTTAGAGAGTTTGCAAACAAGGAGAAGGCTCATACTTAACATCAAGAAGAGGCAGTTGAAGTTTCTGGGACACATAATGAGTAAGGAGGGCTTGGAGAATCTGATACTCACAAGTCGTATAGAGATGAAGAGAGACAAGGGGAAACAAGGCGTGACGTACCTGGAAGGCTTAAGCAAATGGATGTCAGAAAATGGTCTGGCGGAGGAAGCAGAAGGAAGGAACTTGATGAGAGCTGCAAAGGAAAGAAGGTGGTGGAGAGCCATGATCGCCTACGTCCTGAAAATACATGGCACATAAAAAGAAGAAAGAAGGAATCCCTGTACTTACCTTTCTCTGTCTAATGCCAATCGTGTGTCATCTGCATATCTAATGTTGTTAAGATTGTGTCTTCACTAAAGAATCCTTGTAGGTCTTCTATCTTCAATGTTGAATAACTCCGGCGAGAAGACACATCCTTGTCTTAGTGAAACAGAAGTGTAAAATACTTTTAGCACGTATTTAAAACAAAGATGGGTTTGATTTCGTCAAGGAATACTAAAACTTTGGTTGGGGGAGGGGGAGAGATTCCAAAAAAGAACTTGAGCTATTTATAAAATTCTTCAAATTCACTTCAGAGAAAGGGTTTACGAATGAGTTGATAATTAAAAAAAAGAGAACGACAAAAACAAAAAATGTCTTCCTTTTCTATTGGAGGAGGAAAAGGACAGAAGGTTCGGGAAAATCGAATCAGGTTTACGTGACAAGAGCGCGTGAGATTTGAATGCGAACCCGTTGTCGTGTACCCCTAAGGGCGATTGGTATACGGGCAGGGTAACATTTAACGCTACAGAACGGGGATTCAGCGATCCGAGTTCAAATTTCAGCCTGATAGGCCACAGGATACCTGTTCTTAATTAACCCTTTCTTCCTGCTAGACAGTGTTGTAGTACCCTTTGAGATTGATTGATTGATTGCTATTTTTTACGGCTTATCTACCTTTTTTCGGTTATCTAATGCCGAAACATATTTTCGATTGCATGAGTAAATCTTTTTTTTTATTTTTTATAATAATTTTTTATAATAATTTTTTAAAGATACTGGTCTTACTTTTTAATCCATAATTGGAGGAGGAGATACCTTTACCAGATGTATTTGCGTGTAAGGGAATGTTATAAACCCGATTGGAATTCGAACAAGGCTATAGCGATATCTCATTCTAGGCCGCTATCCGTTGCTCCACGCGTACATCTGCGTAACCTTTGAGAAGATTCCTCTTCGTAATTAACCCTTTCATCCTGTTGGACTATGTTTGCACACCCTTTGATTTTTTACGGTTTATCAACTCTTTGTCATTTATTTAATACCGAAACTTTTTTCGATTGTATAACTAATGCTTTTTTTTTGTACCCGTTTTGTATTTTCAGATAAAATTAAACAACCTGCACCTCTATCTTACCTTTGAGAAGAATATGACATAAAATATTTATTACAAGCCGTTTTTTTATGCATATTTTTTCCTTAGCAACTGGAAGAATTTAGAAAATGTTATTGAAAAAGTTTGAACCAAGTAACCATAAACAAAATGTTTTTTTTTTCTTTTTTGCTATCGTCTGCCAGCCGCAATGATGGAGAAAGCATTTCCTCGAACCATCTCCAGTGAGACACGCTGCAAGAGCCACTCCGTTTCGCGAGGGTCTTCCCTTAATGGAGACGCCATCGAGCCAATCCTCCGAAGGAACACCATCGAAAGAGGGACAATAACCACAAAAGTCTCCACTGCTATATATATATATATATATATATATATATATAGTATAAGAAAATCATCGTTAATTAATTTGAAACTTAAAAGCATTTATTTTACATTCAACATTACCACTTGATAAGACACCGGAGGTGCTGAAACAAAATGGCTATTTTTGTAGTGATTTTATAACATATTTATGTTATAATTTTAAATAAATAATTATATATATATATATATATATATATATATATATATTTAAATAAAAAGAAAGAACAGTAAGATATATAATCCTGTGTTCTTATAGATATTTTTATTTTTACAAAATAGTTCTCAATGTAAATTTACAGAGCATTAATATTATAAATAAATTGATTTAAAATATGTTTTTTTTCAGATACACAGTTCTAACCATGTTTCAAAAAAAGCCACGAATTTAATTTTGCAATTAAATTAAAGACATTAGTTCCATTTCATCCTCAACCGAATTGCTTAAGGATGAAATGGAACTAATGTCTAATTTAATTGCAAAATTAAATTCGTGGCTTTTAGCTTCCATTTTGAAACATGGTTAGAACTGTGTAATGGAAAAACATATTTTAAATCAATTTTTATATATATATATATATATATATATATATATATATATATATATATATATATACTGCATAGTAGAGATAACAGCCATTTTTTTTTTATAAATTTATTCAATACATCAAAACTAATTTAATAATGTAGATGGGATCGGCTCTTTGAAACAAGTAAGTCACTTCTGGCAGCCATTTCAGAAAGACTCTCACGTATATCTTTGTAAATCGACCGCTATTCACAAAATTTGTTTTTGGGCACAGACATTGATGAAAAAAAAAAGTTTTCGCGGCAGTAAATGGATCGAAACAAGCAAAAAAAACTTCGTGCAAATTTCTAAGACACAGATGTTCTGGATTAATTCAAGAACCGACAAACATTGGAAAAATCTTTCGAAAAGATTCTTGGTAATTTGATTCCGTAGGACATGTTGATTTTTCATATTTTTCTTAGAAAATCAACATTGCATTGAATCCGATAAATTAGAGTCTGATGTGATAAAGTACTGATATCAAAACTAGATTTATAGCTTTTACCAATTTCTGAGCATTTACTTTAAATGTCGTCTGAAAAATGTACATAAATTCTTAATATCCGTAGGTTTTTGCTTAAAAATTGACTCCAGATTTTTATTACTTTAGGAATAAATAAGTTGATATCTTTTGTATTAGATATATTGAATGGAAAATATATTCAAAACAGAATTCTAATTATGAATCACCGCAAGCAAAATAAACATTTTTTTACTGTATTCGATAAGTAAAACCCGTGTAAAAATTGTAAGAGATTAGAAAAAAGGCTAATCAATTAATAAGATTTGTTAGATCATTTCTTAGATCATCATACTTATTATAAAACCCAGGTTGTGTGTGTGTGTGTCTGTTTCGTTTATATATTGGATCGGATTTCCTACATTTTTCAACCGATTTCAACAAAACTTCACCGGACTACGTAAAATTACCTTGCGGTGGTTCTGACAGTTCAAAATTGAAAAATACAATTGCTTTTGCACGATTAAGATGCATCCGTAGAATGGAAGGGGGACAACTCATATCGAGTTATACTTATTATAAAACACAGGTTGGTTGTGCGTTTGTGTGTGTTCGTTTATATATGGGATCGGATTTCCTACATTTTTCAACCGATTTCAACAAAACTTCCACTTTTTTTCTTATTGTCTTGCACACTTTTTTCTTTATTTTTACATTCAAAAAGTTTTAAAAATTCCATTTACAAGACAATTGTTTAAAATAAAATTCTATTCAATCGGTAGACTCATAACGATTTAAAACAATGTTTTTGTTTCAGTTTGGGTTTGACCAATTCGTAAAAAAAAAAAAAAAAAAATAATTAAGACATGCGTATCCATCAACCTTAAACAATAATCTTTGTCAGTTTTATTTTTCAGTCTTTATGATGGTCGATACTTGATCTATCTCTTACTGTTACATCCCCGGGCAACGCCGGGCTCTACTGCTAGTAATTAATAAAAACAGAAAATCGATAAAAGTGTATATAACACTATTGGGGAAACATAAGGAAAAATATCTTAAATTCGTATTGATTATTGAAATCTACAGCACTTCCATCATAATATAGCTAAATTGTTCAGTGTAAATTACCTTTGAAATAAATGAAAGTCTTATTTGATGACACAATGATTTAGTAATAATATGCTTGTACCATGCATCTTGACCATATACCATTTGCAATTCATCTCAGATAAAAGTGTATATAATGCCGTAATACTGTTGGGTACAAATTATAAGTCAAAATGTTTTAAATTTGCACTGTTTATTGAAATAATATATTACATCATAAATTGTTCAGTATAATTTCCCTTTGAAGTAAATTATGGTTTCATTTGATGGCACAATGATTTAATAATAATGTTCTTGTGCCATGCATCTTGCCCATATAGAATTTGTAAAGCTTCAGTAAATTATAAATTTTATATGGCTGTGCTATAAAACTTTCAATGATAACTGGGATGAAATTACAACGCTATGATTTTGAATCTAAACTTAATCTTTAAAGTAGTTTCCTCAAAAAAACGGTAAGAATTGGTAAAAAAATATTTTGTGTCGTTACTTATCATGCCAAACCCCAACTTTCAAATTCACGGTTCCAAAATCGACCTGCTCTATTGATTCAGTGTTAAAAATTCTTCAAATTCATCGTATGCAATGTCAGAAAGAGATCTTGGATTAAGTCGAAAGACAATCCGAATCAGTTGGATGGATAATGGAATTATAGAATGTAAATTTCATTTTTCTGTTCGAATGGTGAAGAAAAGAAAGTGGTTTGGGAAAATTGAATCTTAAAGACAAGCGAAATGACGAAAGTGTAGCTGTCTTCATCTTCGTTTTGATTTCTCTAGTTTGAGAACCCCAGATCCTCAGCATCCGAGGACACTCCACAATATCGCAGAATCTCCCTCATTATCCCCGAACCCTCCTCAGTATCCCAGAAATTTACTCAGTATTCCAGAACATTTCTCAGACTCCAGAACCATAGTCAGTATCCGAGAACTCTCTTCAGTATCCTAGAAATCCCCTCAGTATCCCAGAACCCTCCTCAGTATCCCAGAACCCTCCTCAGTATCCCAGAACCCTCCTCAGTATCCCAGAATCTTTCTCGGTATCCCAGAACCCTCCTCAGTATCCCAGAATCTTTCTCGGTATCCCAGAACCTTTCTCAATATCCCAGAACCAACATAAGTATCCCAGAACCCTCTACAGTCTCCCAGATCCTTTCTAGGTATCCCAATACCTTTCTCAGTATTCTAGGACCATCGTCCGTATCCCAGAGTCTTTCTCAGAATCCAAGGACCTTTCTCATCATCCTAAAACCATCGCCAATATCCCAGATCTCTCCTCAGTATCCCAGAATTTTCCTTGGTATCTCAAAACGATCGTCAGTATCCCAGTACCTTCCTCAGTATCACAGAAAATTCCTCGGTATCCCAAAACCTTTCTCACTATCCCAGGACCTTTCCCAGTATCCTAGAACCATCGTCAGTATCCCAGAACCTTCCTCAATATCCTAGAATCTTCCTCGGTATCTCAGAACGATCTTCAGTATTCTAGAACCATCGTCATATCCCAGAACCCTCCTCAGTATCCTAGAATATTCCTCCGTATCCCGGAACATTTTTTCCGTATCCCAGAACAATCGTCACTACCCCAGAGCCCTCCTAGGTATCCCAGAACCCTCCCCGGTATCCCAGAACCTTCCCCAATATCCTAAAATCTTCCTCGATATACTGATTATGCTTATATTGTTATTTAGGTGGTTTTATTTGTATTTTTTTAAGTTAAAATCCACCCGGTCTCTTCTGAACGATTTCAAGAATACGATGATAATGACTAACATTCCCATTTTCGTAAAAGCTGTACGATTTAGGACAAGGCCGAGGAGCCACTCAATCTAGAGATTTACTGAAAAGCGTGAAAGAAACATAAGATGCAGTAGGAAGTAAAGATTATGAGAAAAGGAAGGATTGGTAACGACTGACCCTCCTGGTGAATAACATTTTCCAATTTAGCGCAAATTTCGCCCAGAGCCAACGTTGTAAGTCTATCGCTATTTCTATGGCAAATGTTCGAACAAGCTGCATTCTCTAGTCCCACCAGTTCATGCCTTTGCAACAGTACCATCATGCTACGTCCACGGAGGCGAATCACCCTCGTTCCCTTCTCATTCGATTTGTACGAAAGAAAGTCAACTCGGAGAGTTTATTCACCAATTGTTTTTATTTTGTGTAACAGCTTTTCGAACACTGCAATCTTAAGCTGTCTGGTTATGTACGGGCACATCAACTCCTTATGGGTCATTTAATGCCAAAATTTAATTTTCTTGGGAGCATTAATAGTTTCTTTTAAAAAAAATATATTGCTGGTAATTTTTTTTTACTATGTAAATGTGTTGCATGTATTTTTACTTTAAAAATGTATTTTTATACTTTCATAGTGTTTTGTCCCCAGTTTTGGTGGTTAACTATTTGCCCATAGTTGGGACCCCCACCGGTGCTACCACTCCGGGTCAGGGTTAACCGGGAAACAACAGCAATTAAGAAGTGGTTCCATGCTCCTCAAAACCTATGTATAAGAGACCTCGCTGCCAGATGTAGTTTATCGTCATACCCAGAAAGCATATTCTGTGGAGAACTCGTGACAAAGTGGAAAAGAGTTTTTAATGACGTGTTTCACATTGGTGCGCTAGATCGGTATCTTCAGATCAAGATAAAAGACAATTTTTTTTTATATTAAAGTCGTTATTGTCGGTTGGATTTCAAATTAGGTACCACGAGTTGATCTATGTTAGACTCCCTATTGGCTCATAGACTACACTGTACTGCTATTGCATTTTCAATGATTGGTGATATTGTGTACGAGCCTGGTCTTAGGTACATTGTTGAGAATTGTGAGATCAGTGCACTCTCAATACAATTTTTTATTATTTTCTTTTTACTCTCCTGATCAGGCATTTATTAAGTTGAAATTGTGGCCAGATATATTACAGGGATCTATCAGTGTATTTAAAGTGTTGTTGTGCAGTATATTCCTATGATGTTCATATATATATATATATATAAATATATATTGTACAAAGCGAAACATTTTGTTTTTAGATTTCTAGATGTTTCGCTTTGTACAATTTATTTTGGATATACCTGGCTCTGTCTTGTAGTTATTGCTTTATCATTTGGTTTGGTGCTTTTATGGTCGGAATGAGAGAAGAAATTTGCATGTTTTTTTCGTTTTTTATTGAACTTATTCATAAGGAGGCAATTTGACTTGCATTAAGGAATTTCTATTTCGCTCACTGTGGTAGACTGTTCTAGTTACGCGTGCCATGTTTAATGGATGTCAGTTGTCAGTTATCTCCTGTTAATTCCCCTCTCCAAGTTCTCCACTGCCTTAACTGGATATTGAACTCACACTTTTTGGGGTCCTGTCACTGGATTTCATTAACTCCTTTATCCACTATGCCATGTCTCCATTTCTGTTGCGTCAAATCTCGAGGCGATTGTCCAGCATCCAGTGTCATGTCATATAGGAGGACTGATATTACATAACAATTCAGGGTTCTTTTCTTTGTAGAAACACATTTCTATTGCTTCAAGTCTCTTCTTCATCTGGGAGGAGATTGTCCAGCATTCACTGTCATATAGGAGGACTGATATTACATAACAATTCAGGGTTCTTTTCTTTGTAGAAACACATTTCTATTGCTTCAAGTCTCTTCTTCATCTGTGAGGAGATTGTCCAGCATTCACTGTCATATAGGAGGACTGATATTACATAACAGTTCAGGGATTTTTTTTCTTTGTAGAAACACATTTCTCTTGCTTCAAGTCTCTTCTTCATTTGTGAGGAGATTGTCCAGCATTCACTGTCATATAGGAGGACTGATATTACATAACAGTTCAGGACTCTTTTCTTTGTAGAAACACATTTCTATTGCTTCAAGTCTCTTCTTCATCTGTGAGGAGATTGTCCAGCATTCACTGTCATATAGGAGGACTGATATTACATAACAGTTCAGGACTCTTTTCTTTGTAGAAACACATTTCTATTGCTTCAAGTCTCTTCTTCATCTGGGAGGAGATTGTCCAGCATTCACTGTCATATAGGAGGACTGATATTACATAACAGTTCAGGACTCTTTTCTTTGTAGAAACACATTTCTATTGCTTCAAGTCTCTTCTTCATCTGTGAGGGAAATTGTTAGATTATTTGTCATATAGGAGGACTGAGGTTTGGAGGACAATTCAGGGTTTTTTAATTGGTAGAAACACACCAGGATTGCTTTCAAGTCTCTTCTTCATCTGGGAGGAGATTGTATTTAATTACGTTTGTTGTTTTGGAGGTTTTGATATTACAACCTGAAAGTTCAGGACTTTTCCAAGAAGATTTTTGTAGAAACACATTTTATTGTTTCAAAAGTATTCTTCATTTAATGGAGATTGTCCAGCATTCACTGTCATATAGGAGGACTGATATTACATAACAGTTCAAAACTCATTTTAGAACTTTGATTTCTATTTTGACCCAAGTTTCTTCATCTATTTGGAGATTGTCCAGCATTCACTGTGATATAGGAGGACTGATATTACACCAACAATTCAGGTGATTTTTTGTAGAAACACATTTCTATTGCTTCAAGTCTCTTCTTCATCTGGGAGGAGATTGTCCAGCATTCACTGTCATTTAAAAAGGAGGACTGAAATTACATAAAAGAAGTTCAGGAATTAAGAAAGAAAAGAAACACATTTCTATTGCTTCAAGTCTCAACAGTTGTGGTAGGTAAATATACGTTAGATTATTTAAGAATAGATTTACTAAGGTTTGGCGATGCAATATGTGGGTTTATAATTGGTAAAATATTTACCAGGACTCCTTTAAAGTAACTTCGACATAAAGGATTCGGTTCTATTTAATTACGAAAAAGTTTGTTTTGAGAAAAGACAAAATATCAAATGAAAGGGTGAATTAATTCCAAGAAGATTTTTGTTGCAGGTAAAATTTTTGTTTCAAAAATGTATTGCTGATAATAATGTATTTCTTTATTATTATTATTATTATTATTATTTAACAATTTCTTAAAAAAAAAAACGTATTTCTGGTATTAAAACCCATTTTTGCACTTTGATAGTGTTTTGACCCCAGTTTAGGGGTTAACTATTTGCCCATAGCTGCTACCACCCTGAATAAGTGTGAACCTGGGAACACCAGCAATTAAGAGGTGATTCCACGCTCCTCAAAACCTCCTGATCAGAGGCCTTGCTGCCGGACGTAGTATATCGTTTTACCACGGACGCTCTTTTTAGTTTATTAGACGTGTTTTAATTAGGGTGGCATTTAAAAAATCAAATAAAAAAATGATAGAAAAAGAAAGACACTTTTTAAGTTTTTAAAAGAAAGAAAGAAAAAGAAAGAAAAAGAAAGAAAGAAAAAAGATAATTGTAAAAATGAAGAAAAAAAATAAGGAAAAGGATTCTGAAAAAAAATGGAAGCTAAAAGAAATACAAAAATTAAAGAAAAAAAAAGGAAATTATTTCAGAAAGGGAGAAGAAAAATGATAATAAAAAGAAACAAAAAAAAACGAAAGAAAAAATGAAAGAAAGGAAGAAAAAAGAAAAAAATATTTAGAGAAAAGACAAAATGGCGGAATATAAACAGACTAAAACACAAACAGAGAAAAATGCCAGTAGTCATTTATTCAAAAAAGATAGATCTTCTTTGTCAAGTGCTTTTACGCTTGAAAAAAAAGAAAAGAAAAACAGGTTATTAAACAAAAAGTAACGTATCTGACGCTCCGCGCGAGGATCGAACCTGCCACGTTATCTAGTAAACCTAACTTGTTATCCATTGATGTATAACAGGCACCCTAAGTATATATGCATAGCTCATCATAGTCTGGCAAAATGCAAACAAATAAGATGCTCACGACTTCTTTTGTTTTAGTCGACATGACTATATCGCTTGACGTGGCCTATCGCGGCAGAGGAAGGTTTCTCCTTTTCCAAATTATCTCCCCTTTTTTTTTTTTTTTTTTTTTTTTGATAAAGTTCCTCTGTTTTGTGGTATTTTTCTCTTTTTAGGTTTTTATTTGTATACTTGAAGATCACGTTAACGCTGAGAATCGGTACCTTTTAAAAAGGGATAGGTCTTCAGAAAAGAAAAAAAAAAAAAACGATCCCATAAAAGGAAACACCCACACAAAATATTATTGAACACACGGGAACGGTAAAAGAAAAGTTCTTTTGTTCCGAGGTTAATTTTGTGTCTGTCTGTTTGTCGCATTTAAAATTTTCTTTGTCAATTCTTCCCAATTTTCTCGTTTTAAACGATTTTTTTTTCTTATCTCTTTTCATCTTATTTTTCATTCCTTTTATTTTCTTCTTCGTATTCATCTCTTTCGTTTATTCTTTTTGTTCATTTCTTTCATTCTATCTCTCTTTCTTTCCTTTCTTTCTATCTGTCTTTCTTTCTTTAATTCCTTTTTACTGTCTTTCTTTTTTTTTTATACCTGTCTTTGTTTTTTAATTCTTTCTTTTTTTTTCTTTCTCATTTTTTTCTGTCTATTTCTTTTGTTTTATTGACTTTATTTCTTTTTATACATCTCTTTCTTTCTTTTTCTTTCTTTCCTTTTCTTTTCTTTTTTTTTTGAGTTACCTTTCATACCCTACATCTTTCTTTCTTCTACTTTTTTTTCTTTCTGTCTTTGTTTTTCTTTCATCCGTTTCGTTCCTCGCCTCACATTCTAACTTTTCGACTTGCTTTTATCTCAACTGATTTCTTTCTTTCTTTCTTTCTTTCTTTCTTTCTTTCTTTATTTATTTATTTATTTTATTTTTTGTAACAGTTCATTATTTCTTTCTTTTTTTACTTTGCTTTTCATTCTTTCTTCTATCTCTTCTCAGTTTTTTTTTTTTTTTTTTCTTTCTTTCTGTCTTTTTTTTTTTTTTATTTATTTCGTTCTTTCTATTAGCATTTTACACGTCTGCCTTTCCTTCTCTTGAATTTGCTTTTTATGTACTCTTTTATTCTTTCAGTCCTTCTTTCTTTCTTTCTTTCTTTCTTTCTTTCTTTCTTTCTATTAGCATTTTACAATTCTGCCTTTCTTTCTCTGGAATTCATTTTCTTTCCTTTCTCTTTCCTTTCTTTTCTTTCTTTTCTTTCTTTCTGTCTTTCTTTCTTTTTTTTTTCTGTCTTTCTATTAGTATTTTACAATTCTGCCTTTCCTTCTCTCTTGAATTCGTCTTTTTTTCTTTCTTTCTTTCTGTCTGTCTTTCTTTTCTTTCTTTCTTTCTTTCTTTCTGTCTTTCTATTAGTATTTTACAATTCTGCCTTTCTTTCTCTGGAATTCGTCTTCTTTCCTTTCTCTCATTTCTTTCTTTTTTCTTCTTTCTTTCTTTCTTTCTGTCTGTCTTTCTTTCTTTCTTTCTGTCTTTCTATTAGTATTTTACAATTCTGCCTTTCTTGAATTCGTCTTCTTTTTTTCTTTCTTTTTCTGTTTTCTTTCTTTTCTTTCTTTCTTTCTGTCTTTCTTTTTCTTTCTTTCTTTTTCTGTCTTTCTATTAGTATTTTACAATTCTGCCTTTCCTTCTCTTGAATTCGTCTTCTTTTTTTTCTTTCTTTTCTTTCTTTCTTTCTTTTCTTTCTTTCTTTCTTTTTTCTGTCTTTCTATTAGTATTTTACAATTCTGTCCTTTTTTTCTCTGGAATTCGTCTTCTTTCCTTTTCTCTCTCATTTTCTTTCTTTTTCTTTCTTTCTTTTCTTTCTTTCTGTCTGTCTTTCTTTTCTTTCTTTTTCTGTCTTTCTATTAGTATTTTACAATTCTGCCTTTCCTTCTCTTGAATTCGTCTTCTTTCCTTTCTCTCATTTTTCTTTTCTTTCTTTCTTTCTGTCTGTCTTTCTTTCTTTCTTTCTTTCTGTCTTTCTATTAGTATTTTACAATTCTGCCTTTCTTTCTCTGGAATTCGTCTTCTTTCCTTTCTCTCTCATTTCTTTCTTTCTTTCTTTCTTTCTTTCTTTCTGTCTGTCTTTCTTTCTTTCTTTCTGTCTTTCTATTAGTATTTTACAATTCTGCCTTTCCTTCTCTTGAATTCGTCTTCTTTTCTTTCTTTCTTTCTTTCTGTCTGTCTTTCTTTCTTTCTTTCTTTCTGTCTTTCTATTAGTATTTTACAATTCTGCCTTTCTTTCTCTGGAATTCGTCTTCTTTTCTTTCTCTCTCTTTTCTTTCTTTCTTTTCTTTTCTTTCTTTCTGTCTGTCTTTCTTTCTTTTTTTTTTCTGTCTTTCTATTAGTATTTTACAATTCTGCCTTTCCTTCTCTTTGAATTCGTCTTCTTTTCTTTTTCTTTCTTTCTTTCTTTCTGTCTTTCTTTCTTTCTTTTCTTTCTTGTCTTTTCTATTAGTATTTTACAATTCTGCCTTTCTTTCTCTGAATTTCGTCTTCTTTTCCTTTCTCTCTCATTTCTTTCTTTCTTTCTTTCTTTCTTTTTCTTTTTTCTTTCTTTCTGTCTTTCTATTAGCATTTTACAATTCTGCCTTTCCTTCTTTTGAATTCGTCTTCTTTTCTTTCTTTCTTTCTTTCTTTCTTTCTTTCTTTCTTTCTTTCTTTCTTTCTCATTAATTTTACCTCCTTCTTTTGAATTCTGTCTTTTTCCTTCCCTCTTTTATTCTTTCTTCTCTCCTTCTTCTTCTCATTTCCCTTCCCTTTTTACATATTCAACTTGCTTTTTTTCCTTTTTTTTTCATATTCTCATTTTTCTCTTTTTCTCTCTTTTTCTCTCTCTCTCTCTCTCTCTCTCTTACTCATTGGCTTTGTTTCTTCTCTCTTTCTTTCGTTGTTGTCACTTTTCTTTCTTCTTGTTTCTTCAATATTCACTCTTTTTATTGCTTTTATCCTTTTTATTTTCGGGTTTCCTTTTTGTTTTCATCCATTTCTTCTTCTGTTTTCCTTCTTCTCACTCTCTCTTTCTTTCTATTCTCGTCAATATTTGTTCTTTCTTTCTTTCTTTTTTTTTAAAGTTTACTGTTTTTCTTTTCCTTTTCTCCCATTTCTTCTCGGCAGTTGTCTTTTCTCTCTCCATTTTTAACGGACACACACGCACACAGACACCCACAGACACATACTCTCTATCTCTCTCTCTCTCTCACACACACAGACACACACACATACTCTCTCTCTCTCTCTCTCGCACACTAACTTTCTCTCTCTCCATCTCTTCCCAACATTTTTTCTTTGTTTATTTTTTTTCTTTCAAGTCGTATCACGTTTCAAATATTTAATCTGTTTATCTCGATTACATTACAGTGTAACCCGGATATAAGAGAGTTGTCGGGACCGGAGAAGAAGTCTCTTATATCCGGGTTTCTCTTATATCCGGGTTTGGCCTATTTTATATACATTAACACAGGCTCTAATTTGGGACCAGAGAAAATCTCTCTTATATCCAGGTTCCTCTTATATCCGGGTTTCTCTTTTATCCGGGTTTGGCCTATTTTATATACATTAACACAGGCTCTAATTTGGGACCAGAGAAAATCTCTCTTATAACCGGGTCTCTCTTATATCCGGGTTTCTCTTATATCCGGGTTTGGACTATTTTATATACATTAACACAGGCTCTAATTTGGGACCAGAGAAAATCTCTCTTATATCCAGGTTTCTCTTATATCCGGGTTTCTCTTATATCCGGGTTTCTCTTATATCCGGGTTTGGCCTATTTTATATACATTAACACAGGCTCTAATTTGGGACCAGAGAAAATCTCTCTTATATCCGGGTTTCTCTTATATCCGGGTTACACCGTATATTCTTTCGAGCCCCCCCCCCTCTCCTGACACACACACACTCTCTTTCTCTCACACACACACTCTCTCTCTTTCTCTCCCTCTTGCTCCTTGGTTTTCTTTGTTTCCTTTCCCCTTTTTTCCAGATCCTCTCCTTTCTTCGTTTTGTTTTCCTTCTCCTTCTCTCTCTCTCCTTCTTTCTTTTCAGCTTTTTTTCTTACTTCTACTTTCTCTCCCATCAAAAATTCTATCTCTCCTCCTGCCTCCTCTCGAAAATCTAATTTGTTTCTCTCTTTTATATTATGTCATTTTTCTCACTCCTCCCCTTCACACTCTCTCTTTCTCCTTCGTTTTCTTTCTTGCCTGTATTTTTTTTTTCTTTTTTGCAACTCCACTCCCCTTTCTTCTGTTTCATTGTTTCCTCCTCCTCTCCCATTCGCCCTCTTTCCCACCCTCTCTCTCTTTCCCTTTGTCGTTCTTGCCTCTTCGCTTTTTTCACGTTCATTCCCTTCCTTCCCTTTCGTTTATGCCGTCCTTGTTTTTTTCTTTCTTTCTTTTTTCAGTTTTCTTCTTTTTTTTTTTCTTTTCTTTTTTCTTTTCTTTTCCTGCCTCTCCCATCAAAAAACCCCATCTTTCCTCCTCCGGCTTCGTTTTTTTTTTTCCCCTCTATCTCTATGTACAAATTGCCTACGGCTTCCTAATTCTATCAGCTCTCTGCATTTTTTTTTTCCCAGATTCTCAATACCTCCATTCCCTGCTCCCATCTTTGCCTGATCCCCAGGGCACCCGAAACAGTTAGGAAGGGGGATCTGGAAGCGAACGTCACCTGATGTCAACATCATCTTGACAGAAACCCCTACTTTCTTGCAGACCCTTTTCCTATCGGCCGTGAAATCAACTCTGAACACGGCAAGTGAGGACCCTTGCCGGAACGTCCAAAATCTGTACCTCCCAGGCTTGAAGAAACGACAACAATTTTAATGTCTTTTATTAAAAACTACTATTTTTTTTTATTCTACTTTCTTTAAATGGCATTTTTACAAAGGGAAATGCTTGTACAATGTATTCTCGTATTTTTTTTTTTTTTTACAATTATGTTCACCCTGTACAAGGCCCGGGAGTCACTCAAGTTGGGGCCCTTGCCGGAACGTCCAAAATCTGTGCCTCCCAGGTCTGAAGAAAGGACAAGAAATTTTAATGTCTTTTAATAAAAACTACTATTTTTTACAAAGGGAGATGCTTGTAAAATGTATTCTCGTATTTTTTTTTCTTTTTTTACAATTATGTTCACCCTGTACAAGGCTCGGGAGTCACTCAAAGTAGAGAGTTACGAAGTAAGAGACACAGATTATGCGGATATCTGAGGAAGATAATGGTTAACACTAGATTAGAGCAGATTACGAATGTAGTTGTCAGGGAAGCATCCTCTTGGGAGTTGATTAACGGCGCATGGCGAGTCACCTAACCTATTAGATACAGGCTGAATAATGGGTCAGACAAAACTATTCAGCATTGGTTGGCAACCAGTCTACGAATACGAAAACTATGAATTCGTAGAGAAATCGAAAAAATCTCGGCCATGATCATACTCGTCCAATGAGTCGACAGCCATCAATTTTTTCTTCTTTTTTTTATTTTTATTTTTTATTTTTTTTATAAAGGGCCGTGGAGATTTTCCCTGTCTCGTCACTTTTTGTGTGTATATATATATATATATGTAAATACGTCTTGGAGCTCATGTATTTTAATCTGATTATGTTTGTGTTGTTTTACGCGTGAGGTTAGGACCCCATTTACACACTTGGGATTAAAATGTATACATATTGTCAGAGGACCGAATTAAATATTAGCGTCTATTCTAACGTAATTTCAATGAAGAAATAAATTGAATAACATATGTATTTCTTCCTTTCTCCTCAGCAATTTTATAATTTTAAACTTAAAAGTCATTAAATTTGGATTTTAAAATTGGTAATTTTTACTTTTAATTTGAATTTCAAATTTTGTCATATAATTTAATAAATATTGGTTAGAATAAATTCTTTTTTTAATATTACCCCTATTTTAAAGATCTGAATAGCTATTATAACATGACTTCGTTGTCAAGCTTTTTGAATTTTCCTATACTTGTATTTTCATTGGTCATTCTAGCTTTTGTGACAAAGTTTTTCCCTTGAGAAGGATCGTTAATTAATCTGAAACTTTTAAAACCATTTATTTTGCATTCAACATCATCACTTGATAAGATACCAGAGGTGTTGAAACAAAATGGCTATTTTTGTAGTGATTTTATAACATATTTATGTTATAATTTTTTAAATAATATATATATATATATATATATATATATATATATATCCTTCTGTCTTTTTTACAAATACTTTGATGGTAACTGCTCCGATGAGCTGCTTTCGCTGGTTCCCAGACTTCATGAATTTAAGCGTTCAAATAGGCTGGCTTTTCGATCCAATCCGTTCACTGTCGAAACGTTTAAATGTCGCCGTCTCTTCTACTCCAATAGTTTCATGTCTCGCACTTCTCGCCTGTGGAACACCCCCCCTTTTCCTGTTTCCCTGAGAGCTATAATCTCCAACTATCAAATGTAATGTCAATCGACGTCTCCAGATGTCTTGATCTATCCCCTATCCTTCTCTTCATCCTTTTCTCTATCACCCTATTTGCTCTAGCTCTAACTCTCTAACCCCCTTGCGTGCTAATTGCTTCCTGCCATGCTTGGGGTGAAATGCTTTATATATATATATATATATATATATATATATATATATATATATATATATATATATATATATATATAATATTACAAATTGTTGCAAATGTTTCTCCGAGTATAATTCGATAATTGATTCCATTCTTTTTTCAATGAAGTTTTTTTCCATTTTTTTTCACTCCTCTGTCAAGTTCATCCCATGCTAATTCTGGGGGTGACTTCAAACTTTTGAAATGTTATCTCTCTCTCTCTCTCTATATATATATATATATATATATATATATATATATATATATATATATATATATATATATATATATATATATATATATAATTATTTATTTAAAATATGATTCCAACTCGTGACATAAGAGGTCTTATGTTTCAAAAACAAGAGTTTGAAAACTTCAATATAATTATTTGAATTAAATTGAGTTAAAGTAAGCTCTGTTCCATCTTCAAGCGAAATTTTTTTTTTTTTTTTGCAATAACGTATTTCTGAAATTTACGTGTTTTAATAAGTGAAATCAAAATTTCCATGGTAACAGCTAGGGCGAATTGTATAAATTGGGAAGGCGTGTGTTGGGTGTTAATAATAAGTATCAGTATAGAGTTACTTTCATAGATGCCATGTCAGGGTAAGATGGGCGTGTCTAAATTTGAAACGGAAGATGTTTTAGCCTAGGCTGAAACATCTTCCGTTTAATTTAATTCAAATAATTATATTGACGTTTTCGGCTCTTGTTTTGAAACATGAGACCTCTTATGTCGCGAGTTGGAATCATATTTTTAAATAAATAATTATATTTATGCTCTACTTTTGTATCGAGCATTATTTTTTTTTTAAATAATAACTAAAATACTAAGGAACTTTGGATTATTTACCTAACCAGTTCTTGCACATTTTCTATATATATATATATATATATATATATATATATATATATATATATATATATATATATGTGTGTGTGTGTGTGTGTGTGTGTGTGTGTGTGTTCATATATATAAATGGTTCAAACATAATATTCCATGGTTATAATTTATTACATTGGATGATCCAATTATCAGACCTACAAATTCAAAAAGAAATCGGAAAATATCTTTCTGAATTTATAGGTCTGATGAATTGAATCGTAATTACGATTCCAATGTAATAAATTATGACCATGGAATATTAATGTTTGAGCCTTTTATATTATATTCTTGCCGTGTGCTGGACATGAAATCTACCTGCATTCTATCCTCCTATATATATATATATATATATATATATATATACATATATATATATATATATATATTGAACAATAATACACAAACACACATACACACGCACATACACACACTTATATATATATATATATATATATATTGACAAATAATACACAGACACACACACATATATATATATATGCACACATATGTATATATATGTATGTATATATATATATATATATATATATATATATATATATATATATATATATATATATTGATCAATAATACACAAACACACACACACATACACACACACATATATATATATTGACAAATAATACACAGACACACACACATATACACACACACACACACACACACATATATATATATATATATATATATATATAATGTGTATTTGGGAAGCACTCTCCCTTTAATGCATGTTTCGTTAAAAACGACTGACAAAATGGTGTGTTTATGTTTATATAATTTTTCGCGTGTTGTTTTTTTTTTTTTCGGGGCATCAATTACATAAAAATTGTTCGAATGTTTAATATATCCAAGCGCTTTCAGTTGTACTTTTACTTTTAACAGAATACATGCATTATTTTATGTATTTATTGAGAAAAAAAGTAAGACAATTAAATGATTTATTATAAAATATTTAAAACTGCTAACCTTAGTGTCAAAAATAATAATTCACCCTCAAGATCCAAATTACAGAAAACTAATATCATTTCCGAATTTCTTTTTTAATATGCCATGTCCTTTCCAGACTTAGCCGATCATGGCTCTCCACTTCTCCCTCTATCCCTTGCAGCTCTCAACAAGTTCTTTTCCTCTACTTCCTCACCAGACTACGTTCTGTCATCCACTTTAAGCCCGCTAGGTATGTCACGGTTTTGCTTTGTTTCTCTTTCCGTCTATTCGACCCGTGAGTATCAGATTATCCAAGCCCTCCTTCCTCATTATGTGTCCTAGGAACTTCAGCTGCCTTTTCCTGATGTCAAGTTTTAGCCCCCTCCTCTTTATTTGCATTCTGTCTAAGATCTCATCGTTGCTCACACGCTCGGTCCATTATATCCTTAGCATCCTTCTTTAGAATCACATCTCTGTCGCCTCGAATCTCTTGTTCATCTTTGAAGAAGTCGTCCAAGATTCGCAGCCTTATAGAAGAACAGATGTCACGTAACAGCTCAGTATTCTTTTTTAGAAATCCTTCTGTCTCGCAATATTCTGCCAAGCTTTTGAAATGCGTCCTTGGCCATCCCAATATGTCTACGGATCACAGTGTTGCACTTACGTTCAAGTTTTTTAAGAGAAATATTTTTATCTTCTGTAGAATCAAATCTTTTTCGTCTCCAGTCTCTTCTTCATCATTGAGGAAATCGTTTAACATTCGCTGCCGTAAAGAAGGACAGACTTGCCCAATTAATATTTACATATAATGAATAATATCAATGTTACTATAGCTCAGCCGACATTTTGTTTGTAAAAATTATTATTGTATATGAAAAACATTGGTTTGTATAAAGTCGATAGGGTTTTATGACTTTGTTGATCAGTAGCAAGATGTTTGACTTTTGTTTTCGATTTTGTGCAAGCCAATGTTTGTCGACGTTCAATAATAGACTTTTGGTAGAAAGTTAGGTATTATTATTTATTGCTATGATAAAATCGAAGCTTATCGTGCATTGCAGGTAGAGGTTGATTGATTGATTCGTGACTTGTGTAGCACTGGGTTGCTCGCCCAGTGAATACCGAATAATCAAGATGTTGACATTCCACACTAAATTAAACAAAAGGTTAGTAAGGAAAACCGCAATCCCAACATGTCCCTTGAAAAA